AAGAGGGAGTGAGAAGCCGTGGTACGAGGGCCCTCCCTGTGCTGAGTGGTGGCAAAGCATGACCAAACCGTGGGATGGCTCTAGTCACCCCCATGTAGGCTCAAACCTCCAGAACTTGGGCTCCTACAGAATCTTCAGTGGGAACCATTCCAAGTGGGAGCACACACCCCAGGATGTATCCTACAGCTGCAAACAAAAGGGGAAATTGGTGCAAGGGTGGTGAAAGGCACGTGACATTTCCTGGGGGCTCTGGGAGGGTGAGGGCTCCGACCATATTTTATGCAGCATCTTGGGATAGCAGCAGGGAGCCCAGACATCAACTGGCTTAGGGCTTGGGCACTGGAGTTGGAATTTGCAGGTTTAAATCCCAGCTCTGTGGCTGACTAGCTATGTCCCCTGGGCAAGTCATTTCTTCTCTCTGCACCTCAGTTTCCTTACCTGTAAAAGGCGGAAACTAAGGACTAAATGGGATAATGCCCACAGAAAGTGCTGAGTAAATGCCAGCACTTTCCTGATGCAGTGCCCTTTAAGCCTCACCAGGACCTTCTGCAGCGGGCACATTTCCACATGAGGGAGCAGATGCTTCCAGGAGAAGTTCAATCCCTGTCCTCCCAGTTGCTACTTGGATATGTGGTGACACCGTATCTGTGCCACCCTGAGCTTGGTCTGCTTCTCCAGATTATCCACCCAGCTCCTTGGCCCCTCCCTGTGTAGCCACCTCCCGTGCAGGCTCCATTTGTCCATCTAATGATCTGTGCCACAGCCCAGGGACTGGTCAGATCCTCCACCTCAACCAGCACCACCCTGAGACAATGTGGAATTGCCCCAGGCTGCTCATCCTACCCCACACCAGGCAGGGAGCGCCACAGAGTCCCGTGTGGGCCCAGAGCTGTGCCTGGGGCTGGCAGGAAAGCCATTTCTAGACCCACCTGCCAGTCTCACAATTTGTTGCTGTAAAGTAGGGGTGGGGAACATCGAGCCTGCAGACCGTATAAGGCACAAGAAATCATTTGGTCTGGCCCTGCCAAGGCATTAGGGGTGAGTTAATTAAATGCTTGACCAAATATAGCAGGCTAATTATTAAGTTGCTAATTTTGTATGGCCCGGAATGACATTATAGATACCCAAATGGCCCTTGGCAGAAGAAAGTTCCCCACTCCTGCTGTAAAGACTCCCAGGCGGTGAGTGAAGCAGGCTGGGAACTGCGTCCAGCCCGCTCTGAAGGCAGGTGTCTCTGCCGGGTGGGAAGGGAGCTGACAGGTTGATGGGAGCCACACCACCGCTCTGTGGATGGCGGGCTGCAGCCTGTGGGTGAAACCTGGCAGGGCATCTCTGTCCTGGGGGCTGGGATCAACAAAGGTCACCCAAGTGGAATGGGACCCGCTGGGCAGGTCGAAGTTGGGGGTGGGGTTCTGGCTGAGGCCACACAGTTTCCTGGAGGGACAGCAGGCAATGAAGGCCCAGGGCTTTTGTGAGCTTGTGGCATTTCTCACTCACAGAATTCTGAGAGAAGGGAAGACTATTCGTGCTAAGAAGCTAGGACCGCCTCACACCCTGCAATAGCTGTTTTCACGAGAACCGGGAGTGGTAATGGAGCCGCTGGCTGAGACAGGAAGGCTCTGCTTCCACAAAGGCTGGTCTGGAGCTGCTGGCCCAGAGGGCTCCCTCTGTGGAGACGCCAAAGCCCCCTCGGAGAAGTGTCTCTTCACGAATGCAAAGCAGGAGTTGGAATTTGCAGGAAGGAGCTCTTCTGCTTCACAGACTAATCATGGAGATGATTCAGAGGCCTTGCCTTCCCCTGGGCTCTGACCAGCACGCTGGGGTCCTGAGGGGCACAGCATGGCGGCGTCCCTGGAGGTGACACAGGCGGGCCTCTCACAGCTGACAAAGCCCCTGGCATTGACCCTGTCTCAGCTGAACTTTTGCTCAAAAGTTCCCAGCAAGGGGAAGCTTGTTACATACATTCAGGTGTAACTGAAATCCTTACTCCTCACCTGGACCCTAAATCCATATGTCTCTTCCTTGGTGGGCCCAGCTTTGCCTTTTGGGGGACCTCACACTCAACACCCTTTGGAAATTTGAGAACACTACCAGGTTCCCTGCCCAGGTGTCCTCATCCAGGCTACACATGCAGAATCAGAGAATACAAGGCATAGAAAGAGATGGCGATGATTTTGTCCAGGCAACTTTATCCTCACAGATGTTCCCCAGCTAAGGATCCTGTACCCCAGGTTGCCACGACCCATCACAGAGCCCCCGAGAGCCCAGAAAAGCTGTGAGGAGCATTTTGAATAGGTTTGTAATAAGGGAGACAGGGCCTAGCCAAGCACTGCCTTGCTCCCTGACTACACCAATGACTTGCGCGCTCTCTCTCTCGCTCGCTCTCTCTCTCTCTCTCTCTCTCTCACACACACACACACACACACACACACACACACACGCACGCGCCTGCTCACCCAGGCGGGAACATTATCCTTCACTCCTGAGCAGCCACACTTCTGGGTTTACAAATGGGACCATGGCAGCACTTTAGTAATCGAGACAGTCGAGCTGCTACAACTCATCCTCATTACCTGACAGGTGGCCCATCTACTCGCACTCCATCTCCACTCTGGGCTGAAAACAGGAGCTGCTCCTCACTTACCAACCTCTGCACCAGACAGGCTCTGTGCACGGACAGGGGGAGGGACCCAGCCATGACTGAAGGCCCTGCTCACAGTCCCTCCAGCCCAAGCGAACAGCTTCCTCCTGTGCCCCAGGAATCAGACCTGAGCCAAAAGCTTCTTGGGAAAAGCACTATCGGACACGCTCCAGAGCAGTTCACACAGAGATAAGCGACTCCAAGAGTCGCAGACAGGGGCGTGATCTCAGCCTGTCTCCCATCGCCCTATAGCACTTGTGATACAACTCAGTGACATAAACCAAGTCCAGATGGAAGTTGGGTTTATAAGTTTCTGTGGTTCAGAAACTTATTCAGAAGCCTTGTGATCCTTTGTGAAAAACTAAATGCACAGACGTTCTAAAACCACTACTGGTGGCAGTGGGCCCGTGCTGGCCTGAGAGCCTTCAGAAGAGATGATGTCTGAGAGGGCAAGTGCTTTTCACTTGAACGTGCACAGGAATCCCCTAGCAGTCTTGTTAGAACAGGTTCTGACTCTGCAGGTCTGGGATGGGACCCAAGACCCTACATTTCTCACTAGCCGCTGGTCCAGGGGCCACATTTGGAGCAGCGAGGCGCCAGACTATAGAGCATCAAAGGCAGCACAACTCCGAGTGAGCTGCATGTGCTCAGTCAGGAGAGGGGATGGGTGAGACCCCACACCTGTCTGCAATGCTAGCTCATGCCACCGGCCCTTGGTATCTGGGAGAGTTGTCACATGAGCTCCTTTAGCCCTTTAATCAAACTGGTGTTTGCAAAGAGCAAGTTCTCGGACAGCACTGGCTCCTCCTAGCTCCTCTCAGATCCAGGAGGAACCTCGCCCCTCATCAGCTATGCTAGGGCACAGGGACAGTCCTCGGATTCCCTTGTGCCGGGGGAAGAAAGGAGACCTGAGATGACCAAGGACCTTCAGCCACACGACTACCTCACCACTGGCTCAGCCAAGTGCTCACAGCCTGGCGGGCGAGACCAGCACCTACGAACAAACTCTACATAGTGAGAGGAATGTCCACCAGGGATGAGTGCAGGAAGCTTGCCAGGCCCAAGAGGCAGAAAGGAATCCCATGGCATGAGTGGCTGCACCAGGGAAGGCTCACAGAGATGGCGACGTTTGAGCTGGGCCCCAAAGAATGCCCGGGATTTTTCCAGGTAAGAAAGGCATATATAGGCAGAAGGGATAGGATGTGCACAGTGGTATGTCCAGGGAACTGTGAACAGTACGTGCTGGAACAGCCAGAACATCATTAAGGGCATTGGAATGGGAGCCTCACTGTTGGGGCCCAAAAAGGGAGGAACGGTCTAGTTGTGCATGAAAAAAGGAAAGTCCAAGCAACAGAGATTTAAAAAGAAAAACTCTCTCTTTATGACCTTCAATGTGGTAAGAATTAGTCATTCAATTCAATGTCTCTTTTTCACATGCCTAAATTTTTAAATGCATAAGGTTTTGTTTGTTTTTTTGCGTCTGGCTTTTCACCACTTAACATCGGACTGGAGCATTTTACTCGGTTGTCATAAACTCTTTGTAAAGAGCACTTTTTAGCAACTGCACAATATTCCATTTGATCAGCCCCTAGCTGCTGGACATTGAGGTTGTTCCCCATCTTTCAGGCCCATGAGCAATACCTTTTCTGAATTTTAGATCATAACCTAGGCATGGTTCCCAAGGACTGGAATTAGAATCGAAGGGTATGAACAAGCTCAAGACCTTGAGGCATGTGGCAGACTGTTTTCCAAAAGGCTGAAACCAGTCTCAGAGTGGGGCGGAAGGGAGGCACCTGAGTCAGTCCAGGGGCTCTTGACCAGGGGGCGGGGGCCAGCCCTAAGGCCAGGATGTGCCCAAGGCCTTGCTCTGTGAACTGGTCCATGTTAAAGCCGGGACTGGAAATGCAGCAGCCCTGGCCGCATACAGGCCTAGCAAGCTGTACAACTAGGTGTGGCACTGGGTTCCCTCAGGCCAAACAGGAGACACAACGCAGATTGGTTTTGTTTTAGTTTCTAAGAAAGTTCTTTCTGAAGTCTGAGATCTTGGCTTCAGTGCGTTAGAGCATTACGGACAGGACTGAGACAGGGTCAGACAATGAGATTAGCTGGGGCTTCCATGAAGACTGGGGAGACTGGAACTGAGACCCAGGATTTCCTCTTGGCCTGGCCTCCCTCCCCTCCAGGACTCTCGTTTTTGAGGGGCTCGGCTGAACTAGAAGCAAGGACAGCCCAACTGGATGACCCAATGCAGCCCTTGGCTTATCTGAGCAGGCAGGGACAGCGCACTGACTCCCTTTACCAAAGACGAGTGTCCAGCGTGGGTCAGTGCCGCCTCTGAGCAGGGCCACTGGCTCCTTACCTGCCAGAGCTGGGATGGTGACCCGGTTCCACTCCCATGGCTGGTCGTACTCATCAGCGGGCCTGTCGTCATCCTGGGGCAGCTTGCTCTCCCGCAGTCGGGGGCTGACTGCGCTCTCTGAGTCCGAGTCGATGCTTTGGCCCTCGGGTTCGTAAGGGGTGTCATACAACTGGATGCCTTTGTGCTGGGACCGGACACTTTCCTGCCTCTGAAATTCTGCAGGCAAAAAAAGGAAGCAGAGGTGTCATGGAATTGAAACACACACTTCCTCACCTGGGATCTGCCAGGTGACACCCACAAGGGTTCAGAGCCACCAGCCAAGGAGGTGATGACCACACAGGAACAGCCCCTTTTCTGCATTCAATTGCTCCTCCCACCCCTTGAAGGCAGCATCTCTGCTTTCCCCGGGCAAGGTTTCCTCACAAACATCTCAGGCTCTCAGGCCTGATGAGAGAGGTAGAAGGCTCACTGCCTCCATCCGCAGGTTCACTGCAGTCTCAAGGGCACGGCCCCGACGTGAGCATGATGTTCCAGGTGTGTTCTCACACCAGCCCAGAGCACAGAGCTCTCACCCCCTCGCTTTACAGACCAGTGGAGCCTCCCCCAATAGGACGGTTCTCCATTCTTGGCACTTTCATTCCCCGTCTGAATAACGGAACGATCCTCAAATTTTCACCCAGCTTGCATATTCATTTTAAAAGACCCAACAAGCCTCCCCAGGGAGCCTGGGTCACCGTTTTTCTCCCCTGCAAAGTGGCTCCTTCCCAGCATTCCCACCTCCCCCAGAGCCTGCCTGCCTCCTAACACACTGAGCACCTCTGAGGGATGTGAGAGCCGGTGTCCATCCCACTTCTGAATAAGGAAGGGAAGCTCTTAGTCTCGTGGGGAGGGTGCCAGCACGGGCTCCCGTGTGGACTGAGGGGCTACCTCATTCCAGAGAGGCCAGTGGGGGCCAAAGAAGGATGCAAGGATGCCACAGTCAGCTGGTTCTGAGTCAAACAGAGATGCTTTCCCTGCTCCGATCAACACCCACTGTGTGCAGGGCCCGCACGGGACACAGCGAATGGAGGGTTTGCTGCAGAGGCTGCTCTTGGGAAACGCACAGGTTCCAGAACAGATACAATAACCCAAATCACCATGACACTACAGCGAAGGGGCTCCATGCAGGGTCTGTGAGGGTGGAGGCAGGAGCAGAAGACATTTGAACTGACAGCTCTGACAGGTGGGAAATGGGAGAGGGCAGGATTCCCTGGGGTAGGACCAGGGCAAGCCAAGGCGGTGGGGCTGGGAGAATGCTCCCTGCCTGCTTTCCTGGTGAAGCATAGCACATGTGCCATTTTGACCATTTTGAGTGTACAGTTCAGTGGTATTAAGTATATTCAACCATCACCACCACATCCATCTCCAGGACTTGTTCATCTTCCCAAACTGAAGCTCTGTACCATTAAACAATGGCTCCCCATTCCTCCCTCTCCCAGCCCTTGGTCTCTGTACATTTAATACTTTAGGTACCTCATATAAGGGGAATCTTGTGATATTTGTCCTTCTGTGCCTGGCTTATTTCACTTAGCATAATGTTTTAAGGTTCTTCCATGTTGTAGTATGTGTCAGAATTTCATTTCTTTTTAAGGCCGAATAATATCCCATTGTATATTTATTCACTGTCCACTTTTGTTGGAGTACTGGGTCCAAGGAGGTGAGAGAGTGGAGGTGAGGTTGGACACAAAAGGGGTGAGGGTCGTGAGAGTGAGTTGTTTAAACATTCTCCAAATCAGAGTTCCAATGGCAGAGAGATACGTGGAATCATACGTGTCTTAAAGAGCAACTGACAAAACACACGAGTGATGACGCCCTTCCAAGCAAGAGCACTGCTTTTAGGCCAGCTCTTGGGGTGACAGCCGTCCTAGCCCGAGTACAGGCCCTGATACAACAGAAGCCAGCTGAGGCTGTTCTGGGGTCATCAGTGTGGACCTTAAATAACGTTAGGGTAGTACTTCCCAAACTTCATTTAGTCACAAGTTTGCCATTGCGAGTACCAACTAGGTTATTATTTACCATATTTATTTATTCATTTTTTAGAGAAAATAATATTTAAAAAGTAAACCATCATCTAAACAGTTGATAAACATAAAAAGAATGAAGGAGGAGTAAATCGACCAGGCAGGTACCACTGCCCCCTGGGAGGCCGGCCCAAGGCGTGCTTTCCCTTGGCTGAACAGGAGATGAGCAGATGCTGGACAGCTGTCAGGGATGCAAGCCCCAGAAAGACAGTTTCTTTGTCACTTTCTCCTTTTAGAGAGAATGAAAAGGAAAAAAACCTTCTTACAACATGGTTCTCAGGCCACCTAAAATCCTGTCTCCTCTGAGCACATGTCCCATACTTTGGCAAAGCACACTTTATTGTGAGTAAATTTGTTCATTTTGGGGATGATGCTTCCCTTTCCATGCGGAGTAGGGGGGGGGGGGGGGGGGGGGGGGAGAAGAGGAAACAAGAAGAGCTATAGAAGGTACAGCCTGGCCCTGGGCCGTGTAGCTCAGTTAATTGGAGTATCATCCTGTACACCAAAAGTTGAGTTCAACATTCCAGTCAAGGCACTTACCCAGGTTGCAGATTTAATCCCTGGTCAGGCCAATGCAGGAGGCAACTGATCGATGCTTCTATCTCACATCGATGTTTCTCTCTCTCTCTCTCTTTCTCTCATCCCCCCCCTTCCTCTCTCTAAAATAATTTTTTTTTTAAAAAAAAGGTAGAAAGAATCTGGTCAGCTGAAGGTGAAGACCAACTGTAAGGTACTGTAGACAAGCGACATGACCTGCTTTGTAAGGTCACTGTTATCTGTATCACTCCCACCCTGGTTTCTAAGGAGTGCACTTGCCTCCTGTCTTTGGAGAATTCCGAGCGCTGAGGACACCGGGAACACAGCTGATAGGCACTGACCCAGGAAAACCCCTTTCTTCTTCATCCTGTTTCAGAAGCAGGACCAGCAGCCACTACTGGGTAAACTACAGTTTACAAAGCACTTTGCATGCGAGTCACCATTTGGTCTTGAGCACCACAAAGCAATTCACAGATGCATTTCTGTGGGCCCCTTATTCTCTCCCAGAGCCTGGTTGCAAACAGATATTCAATGAATCTGGATGGGATAAATGAATGACAGCTGACAGCCAGATTTGCCCCCAATTCCAGTTAATTTCTGAAAAGTCCCCGACAGCCATGTTACAGTTTAGTATTAGGCAATATTCAGAAGAGATGGATATTCTACATAAATACCAACCTAAAAGGAAAACACGTGCCAGGGAACAGATTAGCTATTAAATCAGAGGGCCTCGTGAGTACACCTCTCACACAGGATTTATTGTTCCCAAAGCATCTGTGCCTTACAAAGCTGGGTTAGTAATGGCATGCAGTTAGGGCAGGCGATGTTATAATGGTAATCATTAAAACAAGCTTCCTCCGTTTTACATGGTGAATTCAAATTTTCATTAAGGCTCCAACAATAGGGAACAGTTAAGTAAATTATGGCATGCTAACTGGATGGAATATTAAGCAGCCATTAAGATGATAAATCTGAAGATTATGTAGCTACATGGAAAAGCATGCATGAAATTATGCTAAGTTAAAAAGTAAAATACAAGATTGTTTATGTGTTGAGAGCAAACCGCATAATATGGGCTTTCTAAACAAGTCCTGGACAATGTGAGCATGCCCAACGGGAATTCTACTCTTTGCTTAGGAATTGCTGAATACCGGCATCCCATAATACCTAAACTCTGATGGTAGCGGTGCTGTAAGTACAGATACACATGAATAAGGGGCTGGAACTCTGAGGCAGGAAGGTAAACAGCCACTGTGTATAGAGGAAGGAATTACTGCATAATTATTTTTGAACGTAGTTTTAAATAATGAATAAAAATGCTAGTAAAAAATGTAATTAAGACGGGAACACATAAAGGTAAATATAATTTTAAGCAGGTTGGGCTTACAGGAGCTGTGCATGTTCTGGAAGCAGCTGCCTTTTCCCTGAGAAAAGGCCCATTTAGGGAGCATCTTCTTTCCCAGGAGAGGTTGGCCAAGAGCCCCAGGAAGTCAAGGGCCACCACGCCAGGCCAGCTCACCAGACGCCACGTCTCCTGCCTAATGACCAGGTCCATCCTCCTTGTTACCTGGACCGATCTGTGACGATCCAGAGGCTGGTCTAATAGGGGAGCTGGTGACCATATGTTTTAAGTCACAAGTTATCTGGACATCACCATCTATAAATTAATGGAAAATGACCTTAAATAGTGGGTGGCAGGCTGTGATTTCATGCCTCTTAGGCAGGGAGCAGAAACATTAAATTGAGAGAGTGGGAATTTCTCTCGACCTCTGGAGTAGAAAGGTTTTCAAGTGGAACTACATATGGAGAAAGAACAACAGAAGAACTGAAAGAGACCCTGGGTGCATTCACCAAGGGCTCAGGGCCAGGAGGTGAGGCAGGTACTCTGACCGACTGGCCACGGAGAGGCAAGGGCCAGGGGACTATCTGAGCGAGGGGCCCAGGACAGAGCTTGGTGCAAACCAGGAGCCTCCTGAGTGAATTTGACGAAGGTTTAGAGTTCCCCAAGCCCACAAGCAATGAGCTATATGCTACATTTCACTGCAGCATTCATCAACTCTGTGCCTCCCACTCCTTTTTAATTTTCCTTTGGCTGCCAGGAAGCTCATAGTTTATTTAGATGGATAACTTCAATAGCTATGTTAGCTTAGATATTGTGTGGATTCTCTTGCCATTCCTTCTACATGGATTTTGATTATTATAATAGCCTCAGTATACACATTTCCTTTTATTACAGTCAGCCTCAAATCTACATTTTGAAAGTAGATGAACCCACAAGTAAATGAAAAAATACACTAACACACTTTATAGTAAATACTTTCACTAGTAAGAAGACTGGAAGAAAAGAAACCTTTTCGTTACCTCGTTCCCTTCCCTTCAGGAACAGGAAAAGGAGGGCGGGGCTTGGCTTCAGTTTCAGGGAGCACCCAGCCATCCTCACACCCAGCCAGGCACTACCAGTACCAGAGCGGGACGGAGGCGAATGAGGCACAGTCCTGGCCATCAGGGAGCCCCTGACACAAAGACTCCTCATCAGAGAGCACACAGGGCACTACAATTCAGCTGGGGAAACTGGGGAGGGCCTTGAGATTTAGACATGAGGTTGTGGCACAGAAGATA